AAAGAAAACAAGTGAAATAAAAAGAAAGCTGCTGCTACATCACTTTATCTCACGAACTCACTTTCTTTTACTTGACTCTCCCTCACTGGTTTTTTTTTTTTTTTTTTTTTTAATGTGGGTTACAACCGTAGCTCTGATACCACTATAAATAAGTGTAGTCAAATAAAGAAGATAAAGGCAACTCAAATATTAATACTCAACAATAAAGCTGATGAAAAAGAATTTCTGCAGTATACATAATTCATTAAACAAAGTGGCCTTTTATAGGCAAATTACACTAACGGATATAAGCAAATAAACAACCTATTAACAGGGAAATAACAAATCACTACCACTTATATAAATATGACAATAAACAGATTCAACATAACTAATTTATATTTTCACTTAGGGAAAAAACAAATTAATTCATACGTTTCTTCAATGCAAATCTAAAAATTATGTTTCGGTGAAGAGAGTGAGAGACAAACAGAGAAACAAAAAAAGTGCATAAAGTAAGAGAGAGAGAGATGGAGTTGCAAGGGTGTGAGGCAATATAGAGAATCGCTTAAATTGAAAACAAAAAAGATAAAGAAGAGAAGAGTTTGTTTTACTAAATTATTTAAAGTTTGAATTTTTTTTTTCCTTGGGTAAAGTGGAAAATTTTTATAGATATATCAAGAATGTACAAGTAAAACAACAAGGGCATCCCCTTGTAAAAGAAAAACAATATTTACAAATAACTGTAACTACAACAAGTAGCTACAAGAGAGTTTGAATTTTGATATGCTGTTTATTATATATATAAATATGTGTGTATTGAAAATTTTGTTACATGTTATTTTTAGATTTTTTTTTTTTCTTTTTCATTTTTATAAAAGGATATATTTGGCTATAAATATCTCTACTAATATAACCTTGTCTATATCCCAATTTTTCAATGTTGATCTTAATTTGCAGATAAAGGTATTAGCTGTAGTTTATTTGCTTATCTTTTACATCTTTTTTTCTTTTTTATTTTCTTTGCCAATGTTGAATGAGAACGCAAATATTTTATATTATTAACTATCTTATGTAATTTAATTAACACTAAATGCTTATCATCAATTTTTTTGTTTCTTCTTTTTTTTTTTTTGAAAAAAAGGAGAGATAGATCTCTACCAGAGAGAATACTCAAAATACATAACTAATTTATATTTTTAATTAATTCATACGTTTCTTCAATGCAAAGCAAAAAAATTATGTTTCGGTTAGGGTACAATCTTATCATCAAATATTGTTGCTTATTATCAAATATATATATATTTTTTTAAAAAGGAGAGATAAATCTATACAAAAGAGTGAGAGAAGTGTGTGAGAGATAAAAAAAAAAAAAGTGCATAAAGTAAGAGAGAGAGATGGAGTTGCAAGGGTGTGAGACAATTGAGAGAATTGCTTAAATTGAAATAATAAAAAAAATAAAGAAAAGAAGAATATAAGAAGTTTTTTTACTAAATTCTTTAAAGTTTGAATTCTGGTATGCTCTTTTTGAAAATTTTGTTACATGTTATTTTTAGATTTTTTTTTTTTTTTTTTTTTTTTTTTTTTTGAAAATTAAACTCTTTTGATGTTGCCATGAAATATGAAACATTATTTGATTTTAATTATAATCATTTATATACGTGTGCTGCACATGAGTGAAAGTGCTTATATATAAGTTTTGCATCGCTATTTTATTGTTATATTTTGATATAAAACTGTTATGTATTTATTGAAATAAACTATATATGTCATTCTCTAATTATATATCCTTTAATTGAATTGTGGTATTTTTTCCCTCCTCTAATTATAATTCCTTTTATTGAATTGATTAAATAAGTTTTTTAATTTCATATATTTCTTTCTCCAATTAGATTTCTTTTTATTGAATTTTAGTATTTTTAGTTTTTTAATAGTATATATTTCCTTCGCTACTTAGATTTTCAACAACTCTATTATTAAATAAATTTTTTAATATTATAAATTTTGTTCTCTTATTAGATTTTCATTTATTGAATTTCAGTATTTCCTAGTATTATATTATTATTAGTATTTTCTTCTCTAATTATATATTTTTAATATTATATATATTCTTCTCTAATTAGATATTTTTAATATTATATATATTCATCTCTAATTAGATTTCTTTTATCGAATTTTAATATATTTTTTTTCTCTAATTAGATTTTATTTTATTGAATTTCAGTATTTCTTTTTACTAAATTATTATTATTATTAGTATTTTTTTAGTATATATATATATATATATATATATATATATATATATATATATATATGCGGAAGGTACATTATCCCATGTTAGTTAGCCGTGGGGGGCTTATTGGAGCATCCCGATTAAGACTTATTTAAGCATTTTCTTGCATGATGCTTTCGTGAGAGACCCGTAATCCAAAGTAGCTTTAATTTGTCCAATGTTAATTGGAAAATGCTATAAAAAATTATTAAATAAGTTTTTTTTTTTTTTTTTTTTTTAATTATACAAAAATTGTTTTATTTATTAAATTAGTTTTTTAATACAAAATTCTTTTTTTTTTTAAAGTTATATTCGAGTATGATTATATTAATTTTACTTCTGCTGTTTTTAAAGTTTCCATTTAAAGAATTTTCAATTCTTAGTTCTTTACTATTGACTATAGACTATTGACTTTTTTTTTTTTTTTTTTTTTTTTTTTCAACTGTTATTTTTCAATATTGATTTAGAAGAATTTTTAATTATATCTGAGTATGATCTATTGATTTTTTCTTTGCCGTTATTTTTTTATATTTATTTGCTTGTGAAATTTGATGGAATAGGTTTCATCCAATTTAGAGTTCTTGATTATTTTTTTTTTCTATTGATTTTTTCTTTGCCGTTATTTTTTTTATATTTATTTGCTTGTGAAATTTGATGGAATAGGTTTCATCCAATTTAGAGTTCTTGATTATTTTTTTTTTATAAAAAAAATATTTTTATTTTTATTTTATTATATTCAAGTATAATTCTATTGATTTATTTTTTATGTTATTTTTCAAGTTTTTGATTTAAAAGAAATTTCATTTCTTCTTCTATTCTATTTGAGTATGATTCTATTAGTTTTACCTTTGTAGTAATTTTAAATTTTTTTATTGAATTTGATAGAACATGTTTCGTATAATTTACGGTTTTTGATTAAGTTATCTTAAAAAATATATATATTATTTCTTCTACTCAAATATGATTCTATTGATTTTATTTTTGCCGTAATTTTTTGAGGTTTCAATTTAATTAATTTATTTATTTTTTAATCTATTATGTTTGAATATGATTCTTTTGAGTTTACCTTTGACATTATTTTTTTTGTTTTATTTTCTTGTAAAATTTGATGGAATATAATTTTCCCTAATTTATGATATTTTATTAAGATTTTTATTAATAAAATCTTTCTTCTATTCTATTTCAGTATAATTCTATTCATTTTACTTGCCGTTATTTTTTTGTTATTATTTGAATAATTCTTATTTCTATTATATTTGAGTATGATTCTCTTATTTTTACTTGTCATTATTTGAATATATATATTTTTTACTTAAGTTATATCTACATTGATTGTTATTCAGGTCAAGTGTGTTTTTACTAGTTACATATAAAATAGGAAGAAAAGTTAGAATATAATTCTCTATCTAAATATTATTATAATTATATAATAGATAACTAATTTATACTTTCACTTACGAAAATAAATTAAAGGGTACAATCTTATCATCATTTCTCTTTTATATATATATAAAAGGCGATACAGATGCATGCTAGAGAGTGAGAGAATACATAATTAATTTATACTTTCACTTAGCATACAAAAAAAAAAAAAAATGGAAGAAGAAGAAGAAGAAGATAAAAAAACTAATTTATGCACTTCTTCAATGCAAAGCAAAAAATTATATTATATTTGGGTTCAGGTCCAATCTTATAATTAAATATAGTTGCTTATCGATTATTTAGGAAGCACGAGTTCTACGAGGAAGCTATACCCATGTCATATTCGTGTTGGAAACCGACACTCCTCAGACACTCTTCGTATACGTATTCAATATTTCATATACGTGTCCATAAATAAAAATTAATTTTATTATTTGGGACACTTCGCTAGATACTTTGCTGATACTTTCGGACACTTCGCCGACACTTCCTAGATAGTTTGCTGATACTTTCGGACACTTCGCCAATACTTTTTGGACATTTTTAACACAAGTCTACCTACTAATCTTGAAAATACTATAAATACTATCATAACAAAGTAGTGAAATACTGATATATATGATATAAAAATCATTACAATAATGACATAATATCATTTTCTAATTCATTTCAAAAGAACTCTTTATATAGAAATTATAAATAAATTAAAGTTTTATAATACTATTACTAAATAGATGTATAAAAATAAAAAAATTATATTTATACCTACATCCACGTTGTACGCATGTCCTATTTTTTAAAAACTTTGACATGTCAACATATTCCTGTCCCGTATCCGTGCTACATAGCTTATCATCAATTTATTTTTATTTTTCTTTTTTCTTTTTCTTTTTTCTTTTAAAAAATAGGAGATGGATCTCTACAAGAGTGAAAGACATTTGAGAGGGAAATTAAGAAGTACATGAACTAAGAGTGAGAGAATTGCGAGGGTTGTGACACTAGAGAAAGGGTTCTGCTTAAATTGAAAATATATAAATAGAGAGAGAGAGAGAAAAAAAAAAAAAATTATAAGAAGTTTCTAACTAAATTCTTCAAAGTTTGAATTTTGTTATATATATATATATATATATATATATATATATATATATATGTTTTATAATTGATAAATTATAGTAAATGAAATTTTTATTTCATACATATGTAATATGTTGTTTTATATATTTTTTTATAAGAAATTAAACTCTTTAGATAAAGATGTGATTAAAAATAATAATAAAAAAATTCCCTTTTTTTTTTTTTTTTTTTTTTTTTTTTTTTCTCATATTTGGTTCCACCACAGGTCAATAAAAAAAGCTATACCCATCAAAATGATTCCTCATCGAGAAGCATCTAAGGGGGAGCCTATGAGGAATATAATCCAAAGTACTAGCTTATTTATTTATTTTTTAAATGTACGCCCAAGTTGAAACTAAATTTTAGATAATATTATTTTAGAATTTTATTATATATTCTTTTTTCATATTTTAGTATATTTAGTTAATTTAAGAATATTTTCATATTTGTGAAGGCTCTGAAATTCACTTGACCAGAAAATTAAACATTGAAAGAAGTTTTTTTTTTTGATACCGAAAGACATGTAGTTAAATAGTATAATCTATTCATTCTCACAAAAGAACAATTGAAATAAGTCATAATCACCAAACAATATTTGAAGCATTTATGATTAAGTTTTCCCATAACTAAGTGTGTGTACATTTACCCTTTCATGTCCTTATTTTGTGTTTATATTCTTTTTTTTTTTTTCCCCATCTTTTTTACTATTTTAATTTGATTTACTTTTAACTTTTTTTTCTTGTCCCAAAAATTTAAATTTCCATTTTTTTAAAAAAAAAAAAAAAAAATTCAAAGAAGACATTTTTACCACTAAGCTTGACTTCTTCCTTCTTAATCAAAATATGGAAACATTGAAGAGGCTTCAAAGAAAACAATTTAAGAATATTTTCATAAGTATACAAAAAAAAAAAAAAAAAGGAGACCTATAAAGTTGGTTCCTTTGTGAAGTTTATGCAATTCACTTGACCAGAAAATTAAAGATTAAAGAGATAGTTAAATGGTATAATCTATTCATTCTCTCAAAAGAACAATTGTAATAAATCCTAACCACATCACAATTTAATCACAAAACAATATTTGAAGCATTTATGATTAAGTTTTCCCCCCTTCCAAGTGTGTACATAAGTTCAATACATTTACCCTTTCATGTCCCTATTTTGTGTTTATATTCTTTTTTTCTTCTTCTTTTTTACTATATTTATTTGTTTTTGTTTTCAGGTAAATTTTAGTTTTTTTTTAGTAAATTATTTTTGTTTGATTTATTCGAATGAGAGAACCTTTTCAATCTCTGATTTGTTACCAGAAAATTTGCTCTACTTTTAACTTTTTTTATTGTCCCAAAAATTTTAATTTCCATTTTTTTTAAAAAAAAATACTTGCAAGAAAAAGAATTTACCACTAAACTTTACTTCTTCTTCCTTCTTAATCAAAATATGGAAACATTGAAGAGGCTTTTCACTGCTGCGTCTCTCTCGCTCTCTCCAGACACTTCACAGTCGACTTTCTCCCTGTTCAGTCTCTCTCAGCACTCTTCACAGTTACTCTCTCTCTCTCCTTTGAGGAAGAAAAGAACTAGCCTTGGCGCACGGGTGGAGCATTTCTCTTGGCTTGTTATAAGAAGTGTGGCGAACCGACCCCTTCGTTAAGTGCCAGGTACAACATTTTGTAATTTATTTTATTTTATTAAATCCAAAACGTAACCAAAATATTAAAACCAAAAACACGATCAGCTGTAATTTTAAGTACCATTTACTAATTAATACAATCAAAAATCAAATACTGCTCTTCCAAGTATTTTTCTCCTTGTTCGATCTGGTCTGTCTCTTCTTTTTATTTCATTTTTATAGTTGATCATTCATGAATTTTGGACTTGATACAAGAAAGCAAATGTACCAGGTTTTTGATAAATTTGCTTGCTTTTTTGTTCAAAATGCAAAAATACTAATAGAGATGCTTTAGAAATGGGAGTAAAATGATTTTGTATAGCACAAGTGTTGTATATATTTTCTCTAATTCACCTGGTTGGTTGAAAATTTAGAAATGTGACCAAAAAAAAAAAAAAAAATTTACGGTGTCAAAATTTTATCACTTAGTTTACATGCTACCGAGAAAACAATAAATTAGCTAGAAATTAGAAATTTTCTTGGTCCTTAATGTATTCTCTCTTAATTAATAATATTGCTTGCAGCATCTGAAGATTAGAAGAAGCTCTTCATAAGAAGCTCGATCTCCTCTTCTTGCACTCTCACTCTTTACTAAGAAGATGGCTGAATTGGTTGTTGGAGCACTTCTCTCGGCTTCTTTTGACTTGCTGTTTAATCGGCTGGATCAGCTGGCTTCTCGCGAGTTCAAAAGCTTCTTTTCCAAACAAAAATTGGATGATGAACTCGTACATAAGCTGAAGATGACTTTGTTGGCCCTTAAAGCACTGCTGGATGACGCTGAGGACAAGCAGATTACCAACGAAAATGTGAAAAAGTGGCTTGAGGAGCTCCAACATGCTGTCTACCAAGCTGACGACTTGCTGGACGAAATCGCTACCAAGGCCTTGAGGGACAAGTTGGAATCAGATGATCAACCCCAAACCCAAAGCACCACAAGTATGGTTTGTTTGACTGGATTTTTCCATCTAATGAAGCAATTTCTGTTGAGAATGAATTGTTTCGCCTCCACTTCCGCTTATCTATCTGATGAAGCCATAGATTTCCGGATGAAAAAGGTCATCAGTATGTTGGAGGGGTTTGTCCAGCAAAACAATTTTCTTGGACTGAGAGAGAATGTCGGAAGAAAACAGTGGAAAACACAAGAAACTTCTTCTGTGGTCGTTGAATCTGATGTCTACGGGAGGAATACAGATAAAGAGAAGATAATGAAATTGGTGCTACCTGACAGTTCAACCAAGGAACAGATACATGTGATCCCTATTGTTGGAATGGGGGGATGGGCAAGACGACACTTGCTCAACTCGTATATAATGATGCTAGAGTAACTCAGGAATTCGATATGAAAGCATGGGCTTGCGTTTCTGATCCATTTGACATTAAAACGATAACAAAGAAAATTCTTGACGGTGTTACTAGATCAAACAATGACATCGAGAGCCTCGATGAACTTCAAATTAAGTTGAAAGAGACTCTCAAAGAGAAGAAATTTCTAGTTGTCTTAGATGATGTTTGGAAGCATGCTTACGATGATTGGAATCGTTTAAGAATACCATTCAGTGATGGAGCACATGGAAGTAGAATTATTGTAACAACACGCATTGACGATGTCGCATCAGCAATGGGCACCATTCCTAGTCATTGCTTGGAGGAATTATCATTTAAAGATTGTTGGTCATTATTTGAAAAGCATGCATTTCAGAGTGGAGATTGTATGGCTCATTCAGAACGAAAGATCAAGATTGGCGAACAAATTGTGCAGAAGTGCAAAGGCTTGCCCTTAGCAGTAATATCACTGGGAGGTCTCTTGCGTTCTAAACAGGATATGGAGGGCTGGAAAGAAATATTAGAAAGCCAGGTGTGGCATTTGGAGAGCAACGTTTCTCCGGCTCTGCAATTGAGCTATAATGATCTTGCTTCACATTTAAAGCGATGCTTCGTACATTGTTCAAAATTTCCTAAAGATTACAATTTTGAGAAGGAAAAGTTAGTTCGACTGTGGATAGCCGAAGATCTTGTGCAGCAACCCAAAAGCAAAAAATCAGTGGAAGATGAAGGTCATTCCTACTTTCTTCAACTATTATCAAGGTCTTTCTTTCAGGTATCAAGTGATGACAATTCCTTTTTTGTAATGCATGACCTATTCCATGATTTAGCTCAACATATATCTGGAAAGTTCTGCTTTTGGTTGGATGATGATAAGCCACTTGATTGTAATTGTGAAAAAGTTCGTCATTTCTCATATGTTCGGAGCAAATATGATGCATTTGAGAAATTCAAAGTTGTTAATGAGGCGAAAAGCCATTTACGAACTTTCATAGGATTTTCAAAACGTGGCCAATCTTTCTTGGGCAATAAGTTTCTACATGATATGTTGCCATACCTGAGATGCTTAAGGGTGTTATCTCTGTCTCGATATAAGATTCATGAATTGCCTCAGTCGATTGAAAATTTGATACATTTACGCTATTTGGATCTTTCTTTTACAAAAATCAGTCGGTTACCTGATTCAGTAACAACCTTGTGCAACCTACAGACATTGGATTTGTCATATTGTAGAAACCTCATTGAGTTGCCCGTCAACATGGGAAAACTAATAAAGTTGCGCTATCTTGATATAACAGAAACTAGATTGACTGAGATGCCAACGCAAGTGAGCAAATTGAAAGATCTCCAACATTTAACAAATTTTGTAGTTGGCAAGGATGGTGGGTCAAGAATTAGTGGGTTGAAGGAACTTTGTGAACTTCGGGGGCAACTCTGCATTTCAGAGCTTCAAAATGTAACCAGTGGTCCGGAGGCATCAGAGGCTAATCTGAAAGGAAAGGAGCATCTTGAAGGATTAGAGCTGAAATGGGGCAGTGATACTGACAATTTACAAAATGAAAGAGTTGTACTTGACAACCTACATCCTCATGATGGAGTGAAGCATCTCCGTATCATTAACTATGGTGGCAAAAGATTTTCAGATTGGTTAGAGAAAGGTAATTTGTTTCATGACATGGTGTCCTTGGATCTTATAGGCTGTGAAAATTGCTCTTCTTTGCCGTCAATTGGGCAGTTACCCTCTCTAAAATATTTAACAATTGAAAGCATGAATGCAATAAGGAAGGTCGGTGGGGAGTTCTATGGGAATGCTTCTTCTTCAATCAAACCGTTTAAATCTTTGGAGACACTAAGGTTTTATAAAATGGCCGAGTGGGAGGAGTAGGAAGCATCAGGGATTAAAGAGTTCTCTAGCCTTATAGAGTTTTCTATAGACAATTGTCCCAAGTTGACCAGTGAATTATCTATCCGCTCCCCAATCCTAACAAAGCTTAACATTTCCGGATCCAATCAAGTTAGGCTTTTACTGCAAGGACTTCCTTGCATTCAGGAGTTGAAGATTTCAAATATTCCAAATTTGACAGAATTGCCCCAATAACTACAACATCTGTCTTCTGTTCAGGAGTTGAAGATTTCAAATATTCCAAATTTGACGGAATTGCCCCAACAGCTACAACACCTGTCTTCTCTTCAAAAATTGGAGATTTCAAATATTCCAAATTTGACGGAATTGCCGCAGCAAATGCAACACCTGTATTCTCTACAGATATTGGTGATTGCATCGATTTCAAACTTGAAGGAATTGCCACAGGAGTTGTGCCGATTAGTAAATCTTGAAAGGTTGAAGATAGTGAATTGCCCGAGGTTTGTCTCCGTCACCATAGGGTTGCCGCCGAAGCTTAAGACGCTGGAGATCAGAAAATGTGAAGCTCTACAGTCCCTAGCAGCAGCAACAGTACCATCAGAGGAAATCAATAATATTCTTCTTGAAGAGTTGCACATCTTTAATTGTTCATCTCTTGTTAAGGTGTCTTTGCCCATCGCTACATTGAAAACACTTAACATCTTCTCCTGTAGGAGATTAGAGTTTCCCCTGTCCGAGGTGATGAAGGAGTATAATTACTCCACATCCATTGAAGTTCTGAGTATTAATGAAAGCTGTGATCTTCTCAAGTCGCTGTGGTTAGGCTTCTTTCTAAAGCTTCGTGATCTCTACATCAAGTCGTGTATGGATTTGGAAACGCTCTTGATCCCAACCATGCTTCAACATCTGATAAAGCTTCAAATAGTGAATTGCCCTAAAATGGTATCCTTTCCCCATGGTGGTGGAGATGGAGGAGGATTATTGGCCATTCCCAATCTCATGTATTTGAAAATCCGTGGTTGCAAGAATCTGAAGCGGCTACCGCATCAAATGCACACCCTCCAATCTCTTAATACTTTTCAGATAAAAGAATGTCCGGAAGTTGAATCATTTCCAGACGAAGGTTTGCCATCCAACTTAAGGAGACTTCGTATCATTAATTGCAATAAACTGATGAAGGGCCGGATGAGGTGGGATTTGCAGCAAAAACTCCCATCTCTTGAAGAATTCTGGATCGGAAGTGAAAATGAAGAAGAAGAGTTGGAGTCATTTCCGGAGGAGTGCCTGTTGCCCACCACTCTTACTAGACTTTACATCTGGAACTTTTCAAATCTGAAAGCACTGAACCACAAGGGCCTTCAACACCTCACCTCTCTTACAGACCTATCCATCTGGAAGTGCCCTAAGCTCCAGTCCTTGCCAGAAGAGGGGCTGCCCAACTCCCTCTCTTTCCTGGGAATATTTGAATGTCCATTGCTGGAACCACGTTGCCAAAGGGAGAAAGGGGAAGATTGGTCCAAGATTTCCCGAATCCGCCACATAGTGCTCGATTCTGTAGAAGACATAATAAACTTAGAGTGAGAATGACTGAGTGGTTTGTAATCATCCAGAAAAACCGAATCAGGTACTTGTTCTACACTCCCTGCAACTTAACCAAACTTGTTTCTATCTTCTATCCATTGAATTTCTCTTTCATTGCACTACTTCAGTGAGTGGTGGAAGTGGTTGCGAAAGCTATTATGCTTCAGTGACTATTAACATTATGTTGTTCTTTTGTATGCCATTTCGCGATTTTCATAATATTTGTTGTGACATTTTTTCCTTTTGCAGGTAAGGATTTCTTCTTGGGCTCCAGCTGCTGCTGCAAGCTTGCAATTAAGGTAGGGAGAGTCTGGAAAATGCTGGGAAACTCGTTATTGTAAGTTGAATTTCTTTCATTAACTAATCTTTCTTTTATTTATTTATTTATTTATTTTTTATGGTCTCTCTTAAAGTATAAATCAATTGTGATAAGTTGTTGTGGGCAGCTTTGTGACTATACAAGGCCACCAAATCACGGATCCTCTCAATGTTCTCTATTTTTCGTACGTGATTCACCATTCCTTGTTGCTTTCTATCCAAAGTTGTTTTCTTATAATTTATTGAAGTCCTCTTCTCTTTTTCCTTCATTTTTTATTTTCCATACAGTTTTTCAATTGGCCCAGACTTTCTAAAGACAAGTAACAACTTTTTCCTGCTTAATAAATTAATGGTGACGGTTATGTTTGATTTGAATTCTGTTTCTACCATGAAATTTCAGGTAGTTCTAAATCTAATAGAACTTTCAAGCCAATGTTCTTCATTTGTTGCTAACTGCTTTTGTTTTGTTCATCTTAATCTTCTTGTTTCTAATGCTTCTCCATTTTGTTATGCCATGTTCATGATTGAATTATTTGGAAGTTGTTACCTGTTTTTTTTTTGTTCATCTTTGTCTTCTTGCTTCCAATTTTCTTTTTCCTGGTAAGTATGATTATTATTCAACATTAAATATTTTCTTCTATTAAGATTCCTGATGCTCCTTTCTCAGTCTTCAAATTCCTAGTTGTACTTGTACACATTATGTTGATCCTTTTATGCCATTTCGCGATTTTCATAATCTTTGTTGGGACATTTTTTTTTGCAGGTAATCTTTGTATGCCATTTCGCGATTTTGATAATCTTTGTTGGATTTCTTCTTGACCTCTTTGTTGGATTTTGATAATCTTTGTTGGATTCCAATTTTCTTTTTCCTGGTGAGTATGATTATTATTCAACATTAAAGAAAAGAGGAGATGGTGGTTGATAAATTTTCTTCAATTATTCATCAAAGTAATATGGGTTAACCTTGAGTATGACTTGAATCATTATATAGCACAATTTGAGTGTCGATTAAAATATAAGTTCTACTAAAAATAAGGTGAGATTTTAATTGAGTGATTGCACTTATTGCTAATAGTTGGACACTTAGAATATAAAAAGAAAAAAAAAAAATTCTCAATCTATAATTACTGCTCAAAACTTCAACATTTAAAATTCAATTGTTAAAATTTACTGTACTAAAAATTCAGTTGTTAATATATATATATATATATATATATATATATATATATATATATATATTGGACCGATTTAGAATTACTGAGGTAGGCAAATTGACTAGGGTATGTTCAAAACGCATGCACAGTTCTACTTGAATCATTTTTGCTGAAATATAAAATTGTGCCAAAGCCACTACAATATGGTAACAGACATCTATGGGGTGCTTTGAGATCAATTCTTATTATTAATTATTTTTTTGTTACTGGGTATTATAATTTTCACATTCTTGACTGACAAAACCCATGGATGCTCCTTCTTTTTTTTTGCAGGGGACACGTGGATTTTAATGGATACTGTGTTGGAAAACTAATGCTGAATCACAAAATCATGGAACTTATATATATATATATTGCTGGGCTGTCCAGAATTTTTCATTTGGTTATTGAGTTATTGTGAAATTGTCTATCAAGTTGTGTATTGTACTGTAAACGATGCCCACCCCTTAGGCATGGGAGACATTTGCTGTTGCTGGTTGGACTGTTGTGTAATGTAGTGGCTGAATTGAATTTGTACTTCTTAATTTCTTTCAACTATGCTGAACTGACTTTGTATTTCTTAATTTTGCTTCAACTATGAAATGTTATCTTTCCTTTTTTTTTTTTTCCTTAAATTGCTGGTTGTATGCCAAGGTGTGTAATCCAGCAACATTCCTCTACTTTTGAAACTGAAAGAGGAGGGTTTAACTCCTATTAGGGACAAATGTGTGCCAGTGTTTGTAACCAACGAAAAATAAAACATTTCTGATTGTACTCGGAAGTGGAATAGTTCCATAATGATATTAAATCAAAAAAATTCATTTTTTGTGGTTTGTTGAAGAGCAGTTATCGCTTTCTTTATAGAAATATAATGACATTTTTGTATGGCGTAAAGCAGACAGATATGGTTGTTGATGGGAATATGTAATCAGTACAGAACTTGCTTTCATGGTGGTGTTAACGTAGTAATAAAAAAGTACAAATTGACCCTCTTCTAGGTAGGCATCCCACTAGTGTAAAGTCTTTAATGCTTGCTTTCATGGTAGTGTCGTTAGGACAATCTTACTACTTCAGAGAAAAGAGACAGTCTACTCACAAAATCACAAATGTAGTCACAAAACCAGTAATTTCAAACTGATGAAGGGCTGTGACACTGGTTCTGTGGAGAAACATGGTTTTTTTTTTTTTGCATGAGTGTGCGACACCGTTCAGCCTTCACGCACCAAGTGGCTTGCAATGATCTGTGTGCTTCCCGTCTCAACTAAACTAATACAAGGGCTATAGCTCGGATCATATGCTGTTATAGCACCGTGCTGTAGGGTTTTTCAAAAAAGGAGAATTAATGTGTTCAACACCATTTACGAAGAAAAAAACTGTGTTCAACACCACTAAAGAAGAGGATACAAGTGCAAAACAGTTGAGCGGGATTGGAGTAGATCTATTTATCTGTGCTCAAGTGATAGAAAGGTTGAGCTGGGTTGTATAAATTGCTCATTTTCTAGTACCCCTAAAAAAAAAAAAAAAAAAAAAAATGAGCTTTTTATTTCTGAACAATTCCATGTAAATGAGAATTTAAGTGATATCTGTACAAATTCAAATATCAACCTTCAGTGAGCGATGAAGGTGTGCATCCCTCTGAAGAGTCTGAACCAACAATATCAAGTGATGTGGTCCTAAGGCTCTGCTTAATTATCAACCTTCAGTGAACAACTAATGGATACAATCTAAAATTTTGCTCAAAGTGTGAGCAAAACAGCTAGTGAATATAACTAAAATTACAATGCTGAAAATCCTTGATGAAGGAGAGAGGGATGAATCCGTAGAGGATTATAATCGAAGAAAGAAAGACTAAAGAATCTGTTGAGTGTTGACAGAGACAGAAGTTTAAGTGGTTTTTTTTTTTTTTTAACTCAATAGAATATACTGAATAAACAATTTGGTTCAAACTAAGTCATAAATCTTTATATATAATGAGCGTCTACATGAATAACAAAATATGATTGCATCATGTGCAAATATATATATATATATATATATATATATATATATATATATATATATATATTTAATATGTATTTTTAACAAAAATTCGTATCATGAAAAGCTTAACCCAGATTGTAAAAATCAAAGTTAGGAAACTTATCTGATTAGAGAGATAGAAAGATTCGCGTCTGAAAAGGCCTGGGATGTTTGAAATGCCCAGCCGATGAGTCTGCTAAAGTTTGTGGCGTTGAGCGGCAACCCATTTTAAAAAAATTTCTGAAAGCCTTTATTTCGCCGTTAGCCTTAAAATATGGAATGCTGGGAAGAACTTTGCCGACCTAAAAGACCGACTTCTTCAGGTTCTTGGAAGACCAAGCTATCTTGGAAGACAAAGCTTTGAATGCTCCAAAATGAGTCCCCAATTCGATTTTTTTTCCCGAACTAGGATACCACAGAACCAGTTCTCAAATGAGGTTACAAAGCGGGTTTAGTTCTGAACTAATCCTAAATTGGGATAGCTTTACCTTTGCAGCCAAACAGTAGCTATTAGTTTATATATATATATATATATATATATATATATATATATATATATATATATATAACTGATAAAGGTAGCAATCAACAGAGGAAGTGAGCGAGGAGAAGCTTAGATGTGATGGACGACAGGCTGTTCCGCTTGTGGGCGATGGCTCGGCGAGGATGAATATGGCCGACAAGCTCACTACAGAGATGGACAGCTGGTGAGATGAACACCGCCGACAAGACAGAACCACGAGCTTGGAGAGGGAACACCGCCGGCGAGACAAATCCAAGAGCTTGGTGAGGATTTGCGGCTGGCGATAATGGAGGCAGCGGTACAGAGTGCAGACAGGTGGTTCGGTTGGGATGAGCTCCGGTCCGATTGTGAGGAAGCGGCTTCAGCGGTACACCGGCGAGCTTGGCCGGTGGTGACAATCATCTGCTCATCTCTACTGGTTACACACCAATACTCTGCAATGTAGAATGTTTATTCTCCGGTATACTCTGTAACAAAATAATAGTCCTACGAAGATTCCGCTGGTAGATCCAAATTATTTCGAGGAGCCTCCAACCCACCAACATGTCTTTTGTGTGCAAGAACTTTCTTGGCCATGCCAGAGCTAAAAACTTGTTTCACACCCTAGCTCAAATTCCAAAACTTGTAACCATATAATCGCCAAGAGTTTGTGAAATTCCAAACAACAAATCCTCTGAACTTGACTATCATCTAGTGCATTGAAGATAAAAAGTAGCCGATTGACGGAGGATAATCGCTGAAAAGTGGAAATTCAAAGCTGGGTCTGGATTGAAATTGAAACCAGAATGATGACGATGATGAAAACAATAATAATTGAAGAAAAAGTATGCTTTTAGTATGAGAGTCCATTGCTGGAATGTTGTAATCCAAAAGAATCCTCAAAACCTTAGTCACAATCGCCAGACTATTGCTCGAAAATTCGACCGAATGTTCGATCAAACCATTCAATTCGTTCTACAGAGTGGTGGCAATTGTCGTGACATGTAAGTGCCGAGATCAACCATGTCCTCGCGTCCTCAATTCTGGACGGTGACAGTAATTTCTTGTCGTCGTTTACCCCGCCATTAAGGATATCTAATCGTTGGGCTATCGAAAGCGTTTTCAAAAACGCTTTGACAAACAATCAACGCTTTCTTGGCTCGTTCGTTGCTGATCTTGGAGATCAATGCATCAGGCAACGACGACACCTTCACGAGCTCGTTGAGAGCCATGTGCAGAGACAGCTTGAAGATCTCTTTCGGGTCGGTGGTGGCCTCCTCTGCTACCAATGCTCTTGTTGCAAGAATCTAGGTACTGGGTCACGTTACACACTGCCTTGACAGATGCGGAAGGTATTATCGGAGAAGCAGAAACTTCATCGGAATCGGAGTTAGACTTCTTAGCACCAATGACGACGCCGGCGATGACAGCCACTAGAAAGACCGCGGCGATTACGAGGTAGATGACATGATTGTGGGTCTTTTGCCAGAATGCTTGGTCGTCGTTGACCTTGCCGTAGGTTTTGATGGACTTGATTGAGTCCATACTGGTAAGAGAGAAGAATGTGGTTTGTGCAGAGATAGAGAGAAGAAAGATGACTATGAACTTTCGGCGGTGCACTGGCGGGCTTGGCCGGTAGTGACGATCTAGGTCGCTGGGGTGATGGCAACTTGTGCAACTGTAAGCGACGGTTTGGCTTAGATGAAGGCGATTCGTGACAGATCAAATGAGAATGACGACGAGCGTGGGCCTGATGGCGGTGCAGCGACGATAACTCGGTTGACCTTGGCCGGTGAAACGGACGATGGTGGCCAGCGACTGTGGCTGGGCTTGATGGCATCCGGCTCGAATGGATTCTGTTCCACCTTAGAGCTTAAATCAGAGATTGATTAATGATATTTGTAAAAACAATGATGTTGTGATTCATTTTTGTGTCCAGAAATCTACTAAAATTAAGGCTAAAAATGTTGACAAAAACTGCGAGTTGTCTATTGTGACATCAGACTCGTCAC